AAGAAAAAAAAAAAAAAAGGATGGACGTGTTTAGGCCCGAAGGCCCCCAAGAGGGAATGTCTACTCACTTTGTCATCCTGCTTCTCAGGGGTGTCCTTCGGGGACAGGCCCTGGGGGCCCAGATGGCTCTGGCGCCTCCGTCAGGAGGTGTGGGCCTCCAGGACAGTGTGGACAGTCCCTGGGGACATCTGAAGGCCTCTCAAGAGAGGGTGACAACAGACTCAAAAGGGAGAATTCCTGCCAGTCATAAATTATCCTCTCCGACGCCGATGATTTTTCTGTTGTTAGAGATGATTATTACAGGCGTGAACAATGGCCCCGCTGTTCTTTGTCTGCTGGCTGAGAAGCAGGACATCTAGCTAGCTCCCGAGTCACCTCCCAGCAGTAGGCATGGAAAATATCGACTTCCTTCTTATTTCTTGATCCTCGTTGCTTTTCTTCCTTCGTTTCTTATCACCTCTTAGGCGCTTTCATGTTCTTGATCTTCTCTTCATTCTTCACGCGATAATGCTTATTTAATTTTGAATGTTCTCTTCCGGTCAAAAGTTGGCTTGCTGGGTCCAGACCAAATGGAAACAAACATGACGAAATTTGTGCTACGCTGAAGGGCGCCTGGGCGGCTCGGTCGGTTAAACGTCCGACTCCAACTCAGGTCATGATCTCACGGTTCGTGGGTTCGAGCCCTGTGTCGGGCTCTGGGCTGATGGCTCAGCACGGATTCTGCGTCTCCCTCTCTCTCTCTGCCCCTCCCCCGCTCACGCCCTGTCTCTCAAAAATAGTAAATAGGGGCGCCTGGGTGGCGCAGTCGGTTAAGCATCCGACTTCAGCCAGGTCACGATCTCGCGGTCCGTGAGTTCGAGCCCCGCGTCGGGCTCTGGGCTGATGGTTCAGAGCCTGGAGCCTGTTTCCGATTCTGTGTCTCCCTCTCTCTCTGCCCCTCCCCCGTTCATGCTCTGTCTCTGTCTGTCCCATAAATAAATAAAAACGTTGAAAAAAAAATTAAAAAAAAATAGTAAATAAATGCTTAAAAAAAAGTTTAAAAACGTTTGTTCTATGCTGAGAAGGATGAAGATGAAAATGAACGCCAGCGATTGTGGCAACGATGACATTTGGGGACGGGCGGAGGGCACCGGGAAGCGAGGGGCCGGGCTCGCAGGAGATGTGCCATTCACTCTCGCGGGTGTGTGTGTAAGGCACAGGTGTGATGATGCTCCAGCATTCTCCAGTAGAGTGCTTCTCAGAGTGTGACCTCTGGGCTAGTGGTCTCAGCATCACCTGAGAACTTGGGAGGAATGCAGATTCTCGAGTTGCATCCCAGACCTACTGAATCAGAAGCTCTGTGGG